CATAGATCATTGCAGCATGGCCCACATTCCCCAGCCTGGATTCTTTCCAGATGTGAGGACTACTTGCCAGCTAGCCTGCCGATTCCTGAAAATTGTGGAAGTTGAAATGCACATATTTAGAAAGCAGACTTAGATGAGAAGCCTAAAATAACAGAGATAAAATAACTTGTGATAAACTAATCCAAGGTATTACAAAGATCACCATTTGAGAAGCAACTGCACATAACATATCTAGTCTTTCTGGAGTATTTAACTCCAATCAGAACAGTCCAAACAGAATTTCTCAGGCTGAGAACTTGAAATCATAGTAAAATCCACTCCAGATTTTTTTGGCCCAGTATCAAGGAATTTAGAGAAAATTGTAATGTAACTAAAGAAGACTGGAAAAATTATTTTTTATTTTGTGTATGAGGAAGAGAGGGAAATTTTAAAAAACAACAACTTTTCACACTTTTTTGCATATTTTGGTGAGTTTCTTATATGTTTTTTTTTCCATTTGTGTTTGTTAATTTATGTAAAAAATTAACCTGATCTGTTATTAATGGGAATCAAGGAATATAGTGAATATGATGACAACATGGTGATTTATAGGCACACAGCTCTGTGATAATCCTCTACATGTTCCTTAATCCATTTCTGCTGATTTTCCTCCCTTCATGTTCAAGGGACTCATGAGATTACAAAGATTATATTTGCTGTAATTTCATCAAGATACTTTGTACTCTTGGAAAGAGATGTTTATTATTGCCTTAGACTTCTAATAATTACTTCAGCAGCAAAATCAGACATGCAGGAAAATAATTATAAGTTATTGCCTTTAGTGACTACAGTATAAAAATGACACTATTTTTCTAATTTTCTGGTATTAGTCGTAGAATAGCAAATAATTCCTAAACTACACTGGTGTAATTTAAAACAGTCATATGCACCATGTTATCATATCTGTAGAGCTTAAGAGTCCTGGACACCGTTCCCTTACTTTAATGCATGGATAATTAGGTTTTGAAAAGGTAACCATTTCAATCTTGACTCTCTATGATTTCATGGACATATAGAGGAAATTTTCATGAACAACAGTATGGAAGTGGTTTACCATTCCCTTCCTCTGGGGTGTTTTTTGATGTGTACAAGTCACTTGTTTAATAATGCACCAAGAAAGCACAAATCATTTCATTTCATCCTAGCCTAAGCAAACAGTTTGTAGAAACTATAGAATGATTCAGGTAAACATGAACTTAGATGTTTGATAGTTTCCTTGTATAACAGCGTGCTTAAGAATGATCACAACATATTCATACAACCATTATTTCCATTATGGCATTATTTCTACACAGAGATTGCTAAGTGCTAGGCGGGGGAACTGCTAAAAGCATTGAGGACACTTTTCCAGAAGAACATTCATGTTATTGTTATAATTAGGCTCATGGGATCTAGCCCAGACCCTACCCCCATGATGGAATAGTAGCAAGCAGCCAAACACTGTTGAAATAGCAGTGCTAAAATATAGTTGAGAGAAAATGTTCCTCTCCTTTCCTTAACTTTTAATAGATTTTTCATAGAAGTTTCCAGACTGCCCAATGCTTCAAATAGTTTCAGGGTTCCATGCCTTCTGTCTGTCAGCCAATAACATGCTTATTTAGATGACATTTCTAAGCATATTTGCCATTGTGATAAAATCAAACCTGTCAAGTTTCAGATTAATCGGTTTGGAGGGGTTTCCAGAAATGGATGTTGGAAGCAGGGCTTCAATTCTACTGACTTCTCAGCACTTCACAGCCTACTGACCACAAGAGGCAGTGAGATATAGATGGAGGGTTAGGATTTTTTTTTTTTTTTTTGGATTCCCTGTTTATCTTTCACTGTGCAAGCTTTTTGTCTGTGACACTGTTGGTGTGAGGGTGCTCCCGCCCTGTCTTTGTCTTTTGAGCTCATCTGGTCTCTGATTCTCTGACAGAATATAGGGAACTAGGAACTAGGCTTTTCCCCTCCCCTCCCCCTTCCATATTTCTTGTAGTAAACTTAAAGAAAGTTACAGAGATTTGCTTGAAGTCCTTGCTCAGTGCTCAGTCCACCCTCCAAGAACACTCAAATTCCTTCCTTTGGCACCTTGATTTTTTTTTTTTAATGGATGCATTGCCACATTTCAGAAGGATAGCATGACAGTTTTTGACACTGCCCTGACAATAAGCAGCAGCATTTTTTAGTATTATTGCAATGAGATATCTGTTGGAACAGTAAACCTGGAGCAAAAACCTATGACATAATTACTCTTTCTCATTGGCCTGTTCTATGTCTAGTGACATGCTGGCTGGGGAATTCTGGGAGTTGAAGTCCACTCATCTTAAAGTCACTAAGGTTGAGAAACCCTGATGTAGAATGTATGTAGGATTTTAATTGAACTTTTGAAATATTGCAAATCAATCTGACTTCTGGTCTACTTTAGGGGTAGATTTAGCCATGGTTGCCCTGACAACCTTCTATAGGGGAGAAACAGCAGGAATGCAACTGTTCATCCTGCTTGATCTTTCAGGAGCTTTTGATAAAGTTGAATCCTGATAAGTTCTGGGTTGTGGGAACTACAGTATGTTACAGTGGTCCCACTCCTACTTGCAAGGACCATGCCAGAGATTAATAACAGATCACTGTTCATCTGCACTTGTTAGCTATGCTCTGGGTGCCATAAAACACTATTTTGTCTCCATCTATATGACGCTTCTTAGGGTAGTGATCAGAAGCGTTCGGGCTCGATGTCATTAATATTCTACTGACACCCAGCTCTGTTTTCTGTAACAACTGAACCAGGAAAGCCTCTGAGTATTCTGAACTAGATCTGGGTGGCAACCTTTAGGTGTGTGGTGCCCAGGTATTGGGAAGTTTGCCTGTTTTAAATGAGATTCCCTCTACACTCTTTAAAAGAGCAGGAATACAGTTTGGACTGCTTCAGTCAGTACTGGGAATACAACTATAGGGAGCCTGAGAGATGATCTTGGAGAAACTATGCAGAGATAACAGCTGTAAAAACTAAAGTATTCTTTAAGCCCAAGAAACAGAGGAAGTATGAGAAAGAAGCTCAGGCTGACCAGAGTATAAGAGGGAGAGAAGAGAAAACTCAGTGAGGCTTGTGAGATTCTGTAACTATAGTCTATATCAATACAGCATAGTTCCAGTCAAACTTGTAGAGTCTGTTTCCTGACCTGGCCAGCCTGAAAGGACTGATATCAACTGACCTCTGTGACCATGAGTGTCAATTCTCAATTTTGGTTGGAATTCAATTATTCCCTTTCCCAGTCAAAGACTTATAGCCTAGCTATAAGTGTTTATGTACTTGTAACCTCAGTCGGATTAATGTACTGTGATCTATGTGGAAATATTCTTGGCCTGGAGGCTGCAGCTGATGAAGACTATGGCAGCCAGATAAATGCATTTTCACTGAAACAATTGCAATGTCTGCCAACTTTATTTATTTATTTATTTATTTATTTATTTATTTATTTATTTATTTAT